CAATGTTACGGCCTGCGGAGGAAGGGCGAGGGAGGAAGCTGGAAGGGGAATCATGGGTAGACTGTTCGGCTCTCCTCTGCCGGCGGCAGAAACTGTTGAGAAGGGTGGCCTTCACCATCAACGGCGCTTCGCTGCCGCCCGTCCCCCCCGCCTCTCCCGGCGGCCCCCAGGCGAGCAACTGCTCCCTTCCATAGCAGGGGGGGGGCGAGAGGGGAAGGGGAGGGGGCAGGAGCGGGCAGGAGAGGGGGAGGCAAGGGGAGGGGCAGGGGCGCGGGAGGGGAGGGGGGGGAAGAGGAGGGGGGAGGCAGCAAGAAAGGATAGTTTTGGACTCTGAACACGCAAGTACCCCTGGCGGGTTTCCTCCGCCGCCGCCGTCTTTACTTGACCTCGAGACCGTCGCGCACCACCAGCTCTGCGAAGAAAGGAAGGGGCGGGCGGGGGGAGGGAGGGAGGGAGGGAGGGGGAGGGGGGCCGGGCGCGGCGCTGCGGAGCGGTCGTGCTTCGTTGTGCTTTCAGCGTGTCCTTTCTCCCCTCAGCGCCCTAGCCGTGGCGCTTGGGCGCCTGGCCGTGGGGTTTCGGTTTCTTCGCAACTGCAATCTCTACGTCCATGACGCCGGTGCCCTTGGCCTTCTCCAGAATCACGTCGGCGCCCTCATCCACGTTGCGCCTGATCTTCTTCAAGACGTCCTTGTCCATCGCGATAGTGGCGATCAGCTCCGCGAAGTCGTGCTCGGCCGACAGGAGCACCTCCTCCTTGTAGCGCATCGACCAGCCAGGCGCGGCGACCGGCATCGGCCACCACGTTCGCAGGTACTCCTTCTGTGCCCCCATTTCGAGCAGCGTCGCATAGATACCCTTCGGCGCGCTCTCGATCGCCTTCCGGGGCGGGCCGGCCGCCACCTTGTCCGACAAGCCCTCGGTGTTGATCTTCGCTTTGATCTTGTCCAAGGTCTCCTTCATCTTGTTGTAGCACTTCACCTCGAAGGCGATGAGAGGGCCAGCCGAGCACACCTTGCTCAGTAGGTCATTGGTTCCGGCGTCGTAGAACTCTTTCATGCTCGTGGCCTGGCCCTTCCACACAGCAACTTTGTTGCTGAGCGGGGCATCCAGCTTCTGCACCAGTTTCTGAATGTCGTCATGGAGGTTTGCAGCCTGCCCAGCATCACTATGTCGTCCGAAGGCTCGTCCTCCTCCATCGGGGCTCCTGCTTCCGGGGCGGCCATCCCAGCGAAGGTGCCGCCGAGCGTCAGGCGTCGGTGTTTCGCGCCCGCTGGAGGCTGAGGCTGGGCCTCCTTGGTCCCCTCCTCCTTGGCCTCCTCCGGGTGGTTGGTCGCGAAATTCTGAATTACTGTCTTCAAGTCAATATTGTCCGTCACCGCCTGGGCCTTCAATCGCTGAAACGTTTGCCACCATTTGGGGTTCCTGCCCATGGCCTCGAGGAGAGGTGCTGGGTAGTCCGCGCCGCTCTGCTCAAAGGCGAAGTCTGCCGCGTGGAAGTTGACCAAGAACTCGGCCAGACAGGACGCCATGGCAACCGGCTGGGAGAGTGAGTAACGCACCGCACAAGCTTTAGATATACACACGTGCGCCCTGTACGCGTACAACATTTCGAGCCACATGCGACGAATTGCCCCACAAGGCACCACTGGATCGCACTATTGCCCCACACAGCACCAATGCCGTGCAAAAGAATGTACGTTCAATTGCGGGAAAAGCTGAAATCGCGTTCACCATTCTTGACTTTGAACTGCACAATCCGAACAAACGGCACCCACCCAACGCTAACGAAACATTCTTGCCGCCCGCCAACCAAGCGCCCATGATGAGGGACGCCATGTCGAGCTGCGGTGTGCTTTGGGGCGTCTTCCCAAAAAATGGCACCACTTCGCTCGCACGCGAAACAAAAATGTGCGCTTCGAGATGGCCTCGTTGAGTCCTGACCCAGTTCATATCAAACAGATCCGACCATTCGTGTTTGAACAAGCTATATCGCATACAGTATGTGAGCGTTACATCAACGTTGCCCATATACACACAAACACGATTGATGCGACACAAATAATCGAACAACTGCGAACCCACGCGCAATTTGTCACGGCCCTGCGTTCATCTGGGAACGCAAGGTTTGTCACGATCATAGAATGTCAATGGCAGGTATGGTGCTGCGGGGGCCGAACCATTCAATATCCTTCCTTGCAACGAATCTATTTTCCAGACCGAAGCAAATTTTCTATGGGAACACAACCAATGCAGAAGCAATGCTATGGGAGCACAACGCAGATTCTCCGATTCAGAACAAATTTGCTATGAGAGCGACGTTGCAATGGTGCATGATGGTGATGATGGTGATGATGATGATGATGATGATGATAATGATGATGATGATGATGATGATGATGATGATGATGATGATGATGATGATGATGATGATGATGATCACTTCGTGGTGCACGTGAGCAAATTTTGCTGACAAGGAAAGGGAGGGAACACTGATGATGAATTGGTGTTGCTGATAGGAGAGGACGACAACTAATAAGGTGATGGTGAGGGAGAGTGCCGTTGCCCAGCCACCCAAGTCTAGAGCCAGACACCTAAGCGCAATGTCCAAAATTTCCCCGGCCCCGGCCCCGGCTCCGGCCCCAGCCCCGGCCTTGGCCCTGGGGTCCCCAGGGAGGGCCCCGCGGTCCTGGGGGAAGTGCAGCCTTCAGGGTCGGCGGCACCGGCAGAAAGGCCTTCACAATAGATGAAGGGCTAACGAAGGCCAGGAATGGATGAGGGGAAGGAGAAAGAGCTACTGCAGGCAGACTAACCAAGAAAACATATTGCACTAGGAATAATCCACTCACTGCTCGACTGCCGATTAGCAGAATCCGCCACCTCGTCGCCGAAGTGGAGGTGTGGATATTTATCGGGTCTCTTCGACTGCTGTATTGAACGCTGCAAGGACTACGAAAGGGTCCCAGACCCGACATTTCCGGGCGGGCATGGGCGCTCCTGGTTATCCGCGGCTGATGCTTCAAAAGGCCTCGAAAGCGTGGCTCGGGCTCCACACACGCTTGCAAAACGGTTTAAGGTGATTACAGGGCGGGTCCATGGCCCACTTTGGCGCTTCTCCGGGCGCTTGCTCGGCTTCTTCGGCCGTCTGGGACGAGCCCAGTTCGCCGAAATCATTCAAAAGCAATGGGGCCCAAGGGCAAGGGGGGAATCCCGAACTAGGATTCCGAGCCATGCCCACAATGACGGCCAGTCAGACCGCCAGCAGGCCCGCAAGAAACCCAAAGAGGCCCCTAACTAAGAGGCGCCAGAGACCTCCAAGAGGCCCGCAAGAGGCCAAAAAAGGTCTCCCAAGAGTCGCCTATAAGAGGCCACTTGTCCACGGCCCAGCCACGGTGGCGGGATGGGCCGAAGGCCACTAGATCCGCCGCCCCCTGTTGATTCATCACAGGGGTGCCTGGCGTGTTAAACCCTCTCGGTTTTGGTTTCGGTTTTTTCCCAAAGAACTCCCCCCGGGGCTTCGGCCCGTCCCGCCAGCCACCCGGAAACTGCATAAGTCAATGCCTGAAACGGCCGTTTCGCTCGGGACATCCTCAAACAATCGCGAAGATGTCCCAAGATGGCCTCCAAGTCCGCCCAAGATGGTCCAAGACGGCCTCCAAGACGGCCCAAGAGAGTCCAAGACGGCCCAAGACGGCCCAAGAGGCCCCCCCAGAGCCAAGAGGGCCCCATGACGGCCCAAGTGGCCTCCAAGACGGCCCCAAGAGGAAGACGGCCCAAGAGGCCTCCAACACGCCCAAGATGGCCTCCAAGACGCCCAAGATGGCCTCCAAGACGGCCCCGAAGCGCCCCAAAAGGGCCCCCAGTCGGCCCAGAAAGGCCTCCCAGGACGGCTCCCGACGGCGTCAGACGTGCCAGGAACCCACCAAGATGGCCGAAGTGGGCTCGAAGCTGGCCCAAGACGGCCCAAGAGCCCCCCAAGAGGGCCTCCAGGAAGTCCAGAAAAGGCAAAAAACAGTGATTTCCCCTTGGATTTCGAAGGATTGTGGCATTTGCTTTTTGTTCTGCCTTCCGACGGCCCGAGACGGCCCAAGAGCCCCCAAAGATCGCCGAAAGATCGCCCAAGAGGCCTCCAAGATGGCCCCAGAACGGCCCAAAAGGGCCCCAAGACGGCCCCAAGAGGCCCCCAAGACGGCACAGGAGGCATTTAAGACGCCCAAGACGGCCTCCAAGACGGCCCTGGAGCAGTCCAAGAGGGCCGCAAGTCGGCCCATAGAGGCCCCCCAAACTGCTTCCGACGGCGTCAGACGGACCAGGAGCCCACCAAGACGGCCGAACATGGCCCTAAGATGGCCCAAGACGGCCCAAGAGGCCTCCAAGAGGGCCTCCAGGAAGGCCCGAAAAGGCCACAATCATTGATTTCCCATGGATGTTTGAAGGATTGTGGCATTTGCTTTTTCTGCCTTCCGGCGGCCCGGGACGGCCCAAGTGCCCCCAAAGATCGCCCAAGAGGCCCAAGACACGGCCCCAAGAGGCCCCCAAGACGGCCCAAGAGGTCTCCAAGACGCTCAAGATGGCCTCCAAGACGGCCAAAGAGCCCTCCAAGACGTCCTCCAAGAAGGCCCGAAAGGATCAAAATGGCCTCCAGACGGCCAAGGGGCCAGAGAGGCCCCCAAGACGGCCCACAAAGGCTCCCGAGGGGCCCCCAAGAGGCCCCAAAGAGGCCCCCAAGAGGCCCCCAGGAAGCTCCCAGGAGGCCCCAAGAATGACCCAAGAAGCTCCCAAGAGGTCTCCTCATCCTTATCCTCATCCTCCTTTTCCCTCGCTCTCCTCAACATCCTCTTCCTCCCCCACGTGTTTCCTGAAGGGCTTCCACAACGGCTGGGGGAGCACATTGTCCAATAGCGTGGCCAAACTTTGCCCAAACGTCTGGCCACATAGGCGTATCCTTTAAAGGCAGGGGGTGGCGGTGATCCGCAGTTGGCGTCGTCCATCGAGGTATCAGCCTAGAAGGTCCTCTGGAGCAAGCTCATGGACGCGGACCTCCGGAAAGCACTGGGCATGCCGTCGGGCTTGATCGTGTTGGTCCTCCATCCAATCTTGGTGAAGTCCTTCCCTACAGGCTTCGACAGGTGAAAGCGGTCGCCAGGGTTGCGTGAAAACTCCAAAGAGCGCGAGGAGGTTCCGAAGCTGGACTGGCTCTGCGCAGCTTTGGCACCGTAAGGATCGAGCTTGAAGCACATCTCGCCGTGCGACTGCCCGGCACCGCGGGCCGGCTTCAGCTTCTTGCGGCCGTAGCGCAAGTCCGACTTCTCGGGCCCGAAGATGATATTCTTGCTCGGATCACGGCTCTCGAGCGACCTTAGGCACGCTCGAAACAGGGACATCGATAGAGGCAACGCCCAAAAAGCAGACGCTGGTCAGAATGGACAGCCATCGCCGTTGGGAAGACGACGCTCGCCATAAAATGGACAGCGTTCACAACGAAACCAGCAGCGAACCCGTGTTGGGCACATTGCTCACGGCCGCCAGTAGACGAAGGATGGCTGACCTACGGTAGTGCTTTGCTGTGCGAGGCCGTGGCCACACAGCAAAGCACCATCATGGGCAAATCATCCCTGTTCGATGGTGGCGGTGGTAGCGAACAGGAGACCCACGAACCCTGCACAAAATAATCAGAAACTGCTGTCAGTCGTCGGCCCCTCTCGCTCGCCCCCAATTTCGGCCCTCTCGGGACCTGCAGCGAGAGTCCACGACGCGCTGCCCTGCCGACGTCTGGTCGCGGTCGTGGATGAAGTAGTGGTCGATCTGGGTCGCCCCTTGCCTGCTGGGCTTCACCACGGGAGTGTCCTCCTCTTCCCCCTCCGCCACCGCTCCTCCTCCTCCTCTTCCTCCTCCTCCCCCTCCTCCTCCTCTTTTCCTCCTCCTTCACGATTACACAATATGAATACTACTCCCCTCTCTCCCCTGATGACGTCTGGAAGTTGTCCGGCCCCCCTCCGCGTTTACACACAGGATTCCCGGGAGTTGGGTTGTCGCTTGGGTGTTTTCAAAATGCTGCTCTCGCTGAAGCACTGGCCCCACTTCTGCGCCTCCCGTTGTTCCAAATCGTGCTCCCGCTGCAGCGCGGGCGTTTTCGGTCCTTCCAAACAGCCCCCAAAATCTGAGAAATTGCCCCTCGAAAAAACCATCGGAAGTGACTGCACCTTCGGTATCGATTCGTTGATTTCTTGGGCCGCAAAAGCCCCACGCACTTTGGGGCGTCGTCGCTTTCAAGAAGTGTCAAACGGGAGCCCCGTCCCTGCTTTGAGAAGGCGATGTTGAAAGCAGAGCCAGCGGGTGCTCTTCATCAGCCCCGCCTTGTGTGGAGCCTTTCGGGGAGCCCAAGGAGCTAGACATTGAACCACGACTCCAGACTGGCCCAAGCATCTCGAAGACGATCCACTCACCCCCCAAGGAACCCGGCGCCACGCCATGACATGCTGTGCGGTGTTGTGTTCTGCGCCGCTGTGCGATGCCATGCTTTGCGTTGCATTGCTTTGTGATGCAATGCGTCACTGCGCAATACCACGCCATGCTATTGCATGCTACGCTCTGCCGTGCTCTTCTACGCCATTCCACGCCGTACTCTACCATGCATCGCATACCCTCTCGCGATCATTGCCCTGCTCGACATCCGACTGTACTAATAGAGAGGATATCTACGCCATGGTAAGGGATGGGAGGGAGGGGTAGGACGTCAGATATGACGCCAGCGCACCTAGCTCCTCCTCCTCCCCCTCCTCCTCCCTCCTCCTCCTCCTCCTCCTCCTCCTCCTCATGGTCCTTCTTTTGCGTGTCCTACCCCTGCTTTTCTTGTTCCTCCCTCTGCTGCTCCCCCTTCACCCCCTCCTCCCCCTCCTCCGCTGCCATCATCCGTTTCTTCGAGCTCCTCCTCATCCCCATCCTACTCCAAGGATCCCCAGGATCCCACATTATATCTCGAAGGACACTCTCGAACCCCCATTGGAACGTCCCACTACCTATGAGCACCTCCTACGCCATTCCTCCTCCTCCAGTTCCTCCTCCTCCTCCTCCTCCTCGTCATCATCATCATCATCATCATCATCATCATCATCATCATCAGCATCATCATCATCATCATCAGCATCATCATCATCATCATCATCATCACCCGCCTCATCATCGTAATCGTGTTTCTCCTGTTCTTCCTCCTCCTCATCTTCATCAGCAGCAGCATCAATCACAACATCATCAGTGGCAGCAGCAGCCGCAGCAGCAGCAGCATCATCCCACCTCGTGGCTCCGTCTCCTCCTCCTCCAACTTTTGGCGGCGTCTTCCCCATCAAACCTGCAGGATCCCCGATCGTGTTCCAAGCCCTCCAACAGGCTCCAAAGTATCATCCTAGTCACAGTCACCACCATGCTCCACCGCATCATCATCAGATCCAGCAGCAGCATCATCATCACCATCGGCATCATCATCATCATCATCATCATCATCATCATCATCATCATCATCATCATCATCACCATCGTCATCATCATCAGGTGCGCCACCATCATCATCGTCATCGGCGACGGCGGTCTCCTCATTGTGTTCATCATCATCATCATCATCATCATCATCATCATCATCATCATCATCATCATCCTCGCCGTCGTCAACCTCAGCATCATCCTCAAGATCCTCCTCAACAACAGCATCATCACAATCATAATCAGCATCATCATCATCATCATCAGCATCAGCATCATCATCAGCATCATCAGCATCAACGTCAGCATCATCGTCATCGTCGTCATCAGCATCAGCGTCAGCCTCATAATCGTCACAATCATCAGCATCAGCAATATCATCATCATCAGCATCATCAGCGTCATAAGCATCACGAGCATCACCCTCATCAGCAGCAGCAGCAGCATCGTCAGCACCGTCCTCATCATCAACAGCATCAGCAGCGTCATCATCATCATCAACAACAGCAGCATCATCCTCACGATCAGCAGCGTCATCATCAGCAGCATCATCAAAAGTCAGCATCACCTCATCACCATCAGCAGCACCAAAATCAGGTTCAGCATCAGCATACTCATCATGAGCATCACCACCACAACATCACCACCACGCCACCATCAACAACACCATCACCAACATCACCATCATCACCACCAGCAGCACCACCACCATCATCATCATCAGCATCATCATCATCATCATCATCATCATCAGCAGCATCATCATCATCATCATCATCAGTGTCATTGTCGTCATCATCATCAGCATCAACAGCATCATCAATAGCATCATGATCACAATCAACATCAGCATCGTTACCACCATCATCTCCGCATCAGCACCAGCACCATCACCACACTTCAGAATCGCAAGCCTGAGCATCATCATAATCATCATCAGCAGCAGCAACATCACAATCGTCCGCATCACTCACCCTCATCATCATCAACAGCATTAACATCAGCATCATCGTCGTCATCAGCGTCCTCATCATGATCCTCATCGGTATCAGCATCAACCTCGTCATAATAATCACCGTCATCATCGAATCGTCATCACCGCCACACCCCGTACCGTGACCCTCAGCATCAGCATCATCAGCATCAACATCATAGGCGTCAGCATCATCATCAGCATCATCATCGGCAGCAGCATCGTCATCGTATTCGTCATCATCGCCATCGTCACGGTCATCGACATCACCATCATCAACAGCAGTAGCAGCAGCAACACCATCAGCAGCAGCAGAATCATTATCACCATCATCAGAATCGATCCACACCTGCTGGGCTGGTAGCACCCGTTCCACCACACGTGGTTGCCGTGATTAAACGACATGCGAGGGCGCGGCGCGGCGAGAGGGGCGTCGCACGAGAAACTCCCTGAGCCAGAATGGCTCGCGAGGAGAAGGAGCAGGAGGAGGGAGGATGATGATGATGCTGATGATGATGATGATGATGAGGAGGAGGAGGAGGCGAGAGGAGAAAGAGCATGCGTATGAAGAAGGGGGGACCAAGGGAGGGGGGGGTCCAGACGGGCCGGGGCTGAAGGGGGGGGTAGGAGCAACAGCAGCAGCAGGGGCTTCAAGAAGCGGAAGCAGCAGCAGCAGAAGCGGCTGGGAGCGGAAACGGGAGGAGCGGTCCCCAGAGATGGAGGGGGATGCCGCCGATGCTCCCTCCTCATCATCCTCCTCATCCTCCTCCTCCTCACGCTCCTCCTTCTACTCCTCCTCCTGCTCCTCCTCCAACCCCTCCTCCTCCCCCTTCTCCTCCTCCTCCTCCTCCTCCTCCTCCTCCACCTCCTCCTCCTCCTCCTCCTCCTCCTCCTCCTCCTCCTCCTCCTCCTCCTCCCCGTCCTCCTTAATCCCATCCTCATCCGCATACACATCGCCAGTATCGTTAGCATCAAAATACGACTCCGACGTCATCATCACCGTCGTCAGCTTACGCATTATCATCAGCAGCATCAGTATCAGCATAAGCGTCAGAACCATCAGTATCGCCACCATCGTCATCACCATCATACCACGCCACCATCATCAACGCCATCACCAGCATCACCATCATCACCACCAGCAGCACCAACAGCATCGCCAGTGTCATCGTCGCCGTCGTCATCATCATCGTCATCATCATCATCCTCATCATCATAGTCAGCATCGTCATCATCGTCATCACCATCGTCACCACCAGCATCATCATCGTCAGCATCATCATCATCATCATCATCAACATCATCCGCATCATCAGCATCATCAGTAGCATCATCGCAAGCATCGTCAGCGTATTCATCAATACCATCATCAAGTTCATCAGCATCATCAAACTCAGCATCACCATCGTAAAAATCAGCATCATCATCAACATCAGCAGCAGCTTGATCAGCCTCATCAATATCATCATTATCATCTCGGCCACCTCCCGAGTCAGCATCATCAGTAGCATCATCCTCATCATCATCAGCAGCAGCATCAACATCATTATCACC